CAACTTATTTTTTCCAGGGTACTAAATGAATGTCACTATAGAAAAGTAGACAGAGGAGTTGAAGAGAGAACTCTGGTGAATATTCTTAGCGCATAGAGGAAAATACTGGGAAAAACAAATAGGAAGGCAAAGAACCAAGAGAAGGTGGGCCTTATAGCTAAGGATGAGTGGAGATTCCGGTGGGAGTGGTTTATTCTATGGGTGGTGGAGAGCAAGGGCAATAAGAAGAACCAGCAGGTACTGGATGCTTTCTATATGTCATGACTGTCCTAAGACTTCACATGGATGAACTAATCTTCACACTAACTCTGTGAGATAGGTGTCCCTATTGTTTCTATTTTATGAACGAGGATACCAGGCCCAAAGAGGTTACATACTCTGCTCAAAGACAAACCAGTGGGGGAGCCATGAGTCAAACCTGGCTCTCAGGCATGGAGTCTTCCTCACCATGCAGTCATGCTCCATCTAGCTGAGAAGCAGAAAACAGTGTGCAGCAGGCTAAGGGCTATGGCGCAGAGGATGGAAGAGGAAAAAGAACACCCCTCTTTCTGACCTTTGTCTGTGAAAAGAGCATAGCGGTGCCTGCTGTTCTAAGCTGTGACATCTCCCGTGTTAGGTCACCAAGTCTGCAGAGATTGTATGTGGATGCGAGCACCCCTGATGCAACGCCAGCCATGAGAGCCTAGAGGATATGCTTTATCTTAGAAAACGTAGTTCTGAGCACGTCTTCAGGATAGTGTAGCAGCTGCTTTGACGTTGGCTTTTTTTTTTTTAACCACATTCCAATGTTATTACTGACTTAAAATAGTCCTTGAGAAAGAAGAGAAAAAATAATCTGGCTCTCAGGATAAAAAAAACACTGTGGTATTTCAACTTACTTTCAGTTTTGCATATGTCTCTGAATCCTTCCTGCTTTCTCTTTTTCACAGGTGAGGGAGTAAAGTCTGGCCCAAGCTGGATGGGAAAGCACCTGTGTTTGCCTTGCAGCTGTTTTGCAAAGCAAATGCACAGGTACAGGATCCACCAGCAACAGTGAAGTCAGGCCGACATTCTGGGGAAAAAAATGTGCACCTGAGTGACAGACTAGACTGGTGTCTGTCGTGTTGCAGGATGTTGCACCCTCTTAACACTCGCACGTTAAGGTTCTGGCAGATTTATCGATTCCTTTCATTAACGATCTGGGAAGATATGAATAGCAACTATTTTGTTCCTAATTGATGCAGATCTGCTGTGCACATGGCTAAAATCTGTTCCCAGAATTTTTCATTGCACAAGTTTGGGAATTTCATTTAAAATATGTGACTATATATTTATCTTTTTCTTTCTTAACATTTATTATGGATGGTGACTTTCCCTAAGCCCAAATCCAACTATCATGCTCAGATTTCTGCACAATAGGAAGAGAATGTATCTTTTTTTTTTTTAAGACTTTCACTTAGAAAGTAGAAACCTGGCCTCTTGAGGACAATCCGGACCCTTCAGAGATGCTGGCAATCCAATGAAAAAGTACTGAGAAATCTAATCTCTGTCTCAAATTTATTTATAGCTTTTTCTTAGTTAATTCTAAGTTTTGGCTTCTATGTTTTTTTAATAAACCCAGCCTGATATTTGACCACATAAAGCATTGAAATTGCTTCTTGCTTTGTCCAGTAGTTAAAGTTGGACCACAGCCTGACTTCACATCACTTATAAAACACACATGTTCTCTGTGGCCTGTCCTTGAGCAAGAAAGGAGACTACAAGTACAGATAAAACAGTTGTTTGAATAGTGCATTAAGCAATTATTGTAAGAAACTTTAAGAAAAGTTATTGTATGAAGAAAGCTTATTTATAAGCAGAATTAATACTTGGGTGCTTTGCAGAGAAAAATGAAACCAATATGTTGGTGTCCAGGAGTGGCTTTCAGTTTTCACTCTGGAGGCCTGTGAGGAATGTGTACAACATTGTCCTGGAGACGGACTAGAATTTGCTCTTGAAGCCAGGTCACTGCTTTGGGGGAAACATTTCCCAGTGGGCGCCTGGGGCTGTACCGAGCACAAGGCTGCAATTTTCACCCACTGAACACAGGACTGTTCCCTCAGGCAGATTGCGAGGCTGTTATTTTATAGCCCATTGACCAGAATTGCTGTGTCAGATGACCTTTTCCTGTTGAACATCCACACAGTGCTCCTGGGTACCATGAACCCAGAACTTCTGAAGGAATTGGGACACACCAAAGGGATACTAGCAAGCAGGCTGGAAGTGCAGTCATATTTTTGTTGGCTCTTTATGAATGTCTGTTTTCAGAAGTATAACCCCAGGGTGTCTGCTTCCAGCTGACACCTCACATGTGAGCAATGAGTTGTAACCGTGATGCTAACTAACAATGAACTGAACACTTTCTTTGTGTTAGGAATTTCTCTAAACACCTTACCTGCATTACTGTGTTTAGTTTTCACAAGCACCCTGTGCGGTAGCTAATGTTATTGCCACCATTTTTACTGAGGAGGAAACTGAAGCCTGGGGAGGTGACATAATCTACCTAGGGTCACAGAGTTTGTGCACTGTATCCTGCGTGTCCATCTCCAACATTCTTTCTAAGAAGGGACATGCCAGCAGTGATACATGAGAGCAGGAAAACTGGTATCTCAGACAGTGATCATTGTGCAGGGTCACATTGTCTCTGGATGGGCACTATTCCCAAGCCTTTCTTTCAGGATGGTGGGGAATTGGAAAGGCTAAGATCCCATCTATGCTTGTTTCTGTCTGAAGAAAGCATCCAGTGTCTATTAGTGTTTTCTTTTAAGACGTTGGGTCCTTGGCAACCCTGATGTAGGCCTGTCTTCCCCAGCTCTGTGTTGTATTCTAGAGGGGCAAGGCATGGGTGCGCCTCCACAGGGAACCAGCCAGTGGGTCTAAGGCTGCAGCGCTGGGTCAGTGGCGAGGAGCTTTTCCTGTCGCCCTTCCTTCTTCCTCCAGTCTTGAAGTCCCTCTTCCTCAGGTTGGGGAAACTGATTCCACTTTGCTGTCAGGCCACTCTGTGATATCCTGGCTTAGAAAGTTCCAGGGCCTATACTGCTTAAATAATAAGATTCTACTCTTATCTCTTGCCTGCCTCCTTCTGAAAGTGTTCAACTCAGTTTACTGAAAGGTAAATGGTGAGCACTCAGGATTAAGTAATACTTCCAACCCACTTAAAGTTTCCTCATTGCCAACAAAGATACATAAGACCTAGGAATAACCGTATTTTCCAAAGGCCATATGTGTCATAGTTCACAAAAATGAAAAGTGAAAGTGAAATCACTCAGTCGTGTCCAGCTCTTTGTGACCCCATGGACTATACAGTACATGGAATTCTCCAGGCCAGAATACTGGAGTGAGTAGCCTTTCCCTTCTCCAGGAGATCTTCCCAACCCAAGGACTGAACCCAGGTCTCCTCATTGCAGGTGGATTTTTTAGCAGCTGAGCCACAAGAGAAGCCCACAAAAAATAGTTCACAAAGCCTACCATTAAATGGCATCCAGTAAGTGGCAGCCACAAGTATTTGAATCCTCAGGCCTGACCCCTCTTTCTTGTTGTTTTAGTCATTCAGTCATGTCCAATGCTTTGTGACCCCATGGACTGTAGCCCACCAGGCTCCTCTGTCCATGGGATTTCCCAGGCACAAGATACTCAAGTGGGTTACCATTTCCTTCTCCAGGAGATCTTCCCAACCCAGGGCTCAAACCTGTGTCGCTTGTATTGGCAGACAGGTTTTTTACCACTGGGCTACCAGGGGATGCCCAACCACTCTTTAGTATGTCGTAAGTGTCTGATCAAAAGCAGTTGACTGAGGGAGAAGGAGAGGTGTAAGATATACTGCATACGTATTCAAACCCTGGTGAAACAATTATCTGTAGACTCTGTTCTCCAAAGGCATTTCCTAACTAGGGTACAGAGATACTTTGTCATGATGGTTCAGGGGTAGCTATTCGCCATCAGGCTGTTCTTTCTGGGCTGTTTTGATTTCCTGAGCAGCTTTGTGTGAGAAATGCCAAGTGTCAAAAAAAATCTGTTGTAGAGGAGAATCATAGACAAACCATTAGGAAAAAAACTTTATTGTATAATAGAGAATATCCCATTTTCCTGAACTCCCCGTGAACACTTCCTCAGTTGAAGGGTCCTGAGTACCAGACTTACCCATACTCAGGAGCCATGTGGCTACCCACCTCACGTCTCGACCATGTCTCCATTTTTTTTTTCCCCTATCTCCTGTGTCTGGCTACATCCAGCTACTTTTAATTCCTTCTCTTCCCCACTGTTGGCTGAGTGGATAATTAAACAGTAAGTCCTGTTCTTTGTTGAGACCATACGTTTAAAAAAAGACTTCCTACAGGGAACCGAAGGTAACTTTGAAAGACAAGCTTTGAAAAGGACGCCCCTGAGCTTTAGGAAGATGAAGGTTTTGAGAACAGAAATCAGGTAAAAAGCCCATTCCAGCTGAGTCTTCATGCTCAGGAGGGCACAGGTTTTCAGAGACCATTGATTGTTGGTTTCTGTCCTCCACTACTTAAGATGCTGGAGTTGACTGCCTGGGTTCAGATCCCAGCAGTGCCACTTACGAGCTGTATGATGCTGAGCAAATATACTTTCTCTGTGTGTCTCAGTTTTTTTTTCATCTGTGAAACAGAGACAATAATAGCACCTGGCTTAAAGAGTTGTGAGGACTGAATCAAAATGAACCACTTAGCACCTGGACTCACAGAAAGTATTCAATAAATGCCTAGTAAAACGTCCATGGAGTGCTAAAGAAAAATGTACTTACTCTAGATTTATATAAAAAGATCATCTTGGAACCATGGTGAAATGGTTACTGCACTTGACCTAATAATAACCTCCAAGGTTTTTACTTTGATTTTTCCTGTCAGCCACCCCCTGGGAGGGAAGCAGGAGCTGCTTGTCTGCGTCTCTCTCTGATCCTGGGCAGATGAGAATTATAAGCCATTGGAGTGATGGGCCTCCTGGTTCTTTTTCTTACTCAGGTGCTGGAAAGCTTCAAGATCATGGACTATAGCCTTTTGCTGGGAATCCACATCTTGGACCATACCCTCAAAGAAAAAGAAGAGGAAATTTCTCAAAATGTGCCTGATGCTAAGCGGCCTGGGACGCAAAAGGTTCTCTACTCAACAGCAATGGAATCCATCCAGGGTCCAGGGAAATCGGGAGACGGAATCATCACAGAGAACCCAGACACGTAAGTGCACCCATCTGCCCCACACTCCTTGATCATGGCAGCTGACGTCATTGGATAATTAAATGCAATCATATTCCCTTCATGGTGGCTCTTTAGGAATAGATTCCTACCTGGCACTAAAATGGATCGAGCCAGCCTAATTTCCTCTCATCCACAGATAACTGGATGAATGGCAGTTTTTTTAGTCGTTATGCGTTCACCCACATGATTTCTCTTTTCAAATGGCTCCATAATTTAACAATGGCTAAAAATGTTTTTATTCCTATTTACTACATATTCAAAACATCCTTCACAAACAGAGGGGATATACTTTGAATTTGAATAAGCATGCATTTAAGCAAATACTTGCTAGAAGTGATATCTGCAATTCAGAACTTTTTATCTGTGTAAGAGGATTCTGTTGTCCTAGTCCTACATCCTGACAGATGTGATCACTTGCTTCAGCCAGATGTGCAGCATTAGTTTGCTTATTGACTAACAGAAACAGTCACAGCCAAAGAAAATTATTGAATTGGTTGACTGTATCATGTGTAGGTACTAGCTGAGCAAAAAGACTGAAAGAAAGAAATCATTTTCCTTGACTATAAGTGCCCGTCTTGTAAGCTTCCCCAACAGTGACTAAACCACAGACATATTTTACTTTTATGAAGGAAATTCATGCATACTAAAGTTTTTAATCCTTCCTATAAATCCATCTAAATGTCCAATAATTGATTAAACAAGTTATTCTATGTCAGCATACTGAAGTACTGCACAGTACTACACAATAGCATACTGAAGTACTATACAGCCATTAAAAGCACATTAGCATTGAGTATGAAGAAATGTTCATCATTTAGCAAGTGAAAAATTCAGGTTATAAAACATGGTAAGTAATAACTTATGCAGATGAATAAATACAGAGGAAGGATGTTAGTAGTAGTTATCTTTGCATCCTTGGAATGGATTCTTTATATATTTTTTCTTTGTGCTCACCTATATTTTATTTTTAAAATCTCACAGTAACTATATAAAAGTATTGCATTTTTGACGAGCAGTACTTTTAAATACTTAAAAAATTCTTGCTCATGGTTTTAAAGTCAGAATAATTTTTTAATTGAATTCTTCCCATCCAACTCTTCAGAACTGACAACTATGGTATTATTCCTCTTCTTGGGAAGTACATCTTTCTTGATTCCCAGGAAGACTTTAGCTGAAGCCAAAAAAATAAAGATGAGAGTCCCATGATTTTTAGAGACTAACCATTTTCATTTACAGTCTGTTTATTAGAAATGATTTTTAACTTCCTGTTCACATAAAATGATTTCTCTTTTGCTCTGTTCACAGAATGGGAGGCATTCCAGCTAAAAGCCATAAGGGAGAAAAGCTGCTTTTATTTATGGGCATTATTGACATTCTGCAATCATATCGGTAAAAAATTTGGGGAAATAGTCTTTTATTATTTCAAAATAATTCAGTGAAAGGTTCTGAGAAGTCACCAAATGGGATTGATTTTACATTCTTACTTTTATTTTTCTGTATGTTTACATTTAGGTTAATGAAGAAGTTGGAACATTCCTGGAAAGCTCTTGTTTATGATGGGGTGAGTGATTTATCATGCTCCTTGTTAAACTGGATTATTTTTCTGATTTCTCAGAGACCTCAAAGTATGTCTAGGAAGCTGTGTCACTTGAAAAAGAGAGGAAACAAAGATCTTTATAAACTCAGAATCTCAGGCTTAGCAAATCAGTTCAAATCTAAGAATAAAGACAACATAAATGTGAATGGCTCTTCAAATAGAGGCCATCCAGGTGGGTGAACAGGTAGAGGCCAGGAAAACAAAATGATGTCTTATTTTGATGTGCAATCTAAAGGACCCAATTAGGAGATGATGAGAAAAAGCAAAAGGCTTTTCATAGGCACCGGAAAGACCAGTAGGACAGTTGAAGTTCTCCCAAGACTAAGCTTCAGAGGAGTTTGAACCTGAATTTGATGGTAGACAGCTATAGGCTGAAACCCAAAATTTAAACCATGTTACCAACCATGTGACCCAGACACATTGCTTGCTTCTCATCTCTTAGTGTAATTTCCCATTTATAGCAGGAAGCTAGTAATTGTACATATACCTTAGAATATTTCCCTGGTGGCATAATGGTAAAAAAATTCGCCTCCAAGTAGGAGATGCAGGTTCAATCCCTGGGTTGGGAAGATCCTCTGGAGGAGGAAATGTCAACCCACTACAGTACTCTTGCCTGGAAAATTCCACAGACACAGGAGCCTGGCGGACTACAGTCTATGGGGTCGCAACGTGTCTGACACAACTTAGTGCATGCACTACTGCACTACCTGCCTCATAGGCTGACGTGAGGGTTAAGTTCAATAATGCCCTTTGGTGTTCAACACAATGCATAACACATAATGAGGACATGGGAAGGGAAAACTTTTAAATTGTTTTGGATTTAAATATAACAAAGGTTGCCTGAAATGAGAATTTCTTTTGGACCCAGATATGGCATGACTGAAGAAAACAATTATCAAAGAGCAGTCTGTTTACACACACACACACACACACACACACACACACACAACTTCCTATCTAGAAGTTAAATTTGAACTTCCTGCCGCTTGACAGAACATTTATGGCCTCAGCCTCGCTCAGTTAATAACTCAGAGTGACACTTCCAAAGATTGTATTGGTCAAAGATTTGCTCACATATTTTTTTTAAGATGTTAGCAGATGCTTTCCTTTGGAAAAAAAAAAAAAAAGAAATTATAGATGCTATTCTTCTCTGTTCCTGGAAAAAAACACTCGCTGTCTCAGTTCTGTGGAAGACTGGTAATAACCTCTCAGCATGTCAGATCTTCATTTTGTCTGCAGGCTGAGGAAATGACTTTTGTCAAAATGCACTTTTAAACAACAGGTTCACAAGTTTGTTTCTGAGAATCAAACTTAGGCTTCTTATTCAAATCAAAGATTCTTTTTTAAGAAAAGGCCAAGAAGGAAGTTTAATTTTTTTCCTTCTAGCTGAGAAAAGTACAAACTACATAATGCTTTGAACATGGACGGGAGAGAAAGTAAACACTCATTTTCATTCTCCTCCTGTTTATTGACAGTTTCAATTCCCTGTTACCAAATGAGACTTCTGCTCCAAATGGTCTAGTCCTCTGTCGGTCAGATACTTCTAAGGAGCCCCTACCTTTGTTGAAATAAAATATGTCTTCTGTTTTTCAGTGTTTTTTTTTTTTTAAGAAAATCTCTGTGCTGATTATATATTTATGTAATTATAAGCAATAATTAGGACTTTTTTTGTCTTTTTACAATTGTGCCTCTCCTTTAAACACGGTTTCCTCATACCAAAAAGAGCCACAGTTTAACCTCTCATAGGAGGCAAGGGCTGACTCAATCATCTTACATCCTATGTATTTCTAAATGACTGCACTTGTGAATCCATGTCCACTTCCAGGAGAAACTGACAGAACACTGGGGAGAGTGCATGTCAGACCAGTGGGAAGTTTTCCATCACATCTGCAGGATCACTGTTAGTCTAGAGACCATTATCACTTGGCAGAGGATTCCTCCATGATGTGTCCTTCATAAAATGCTGATTACAGAATTCTCTTATGCTTCATGTAACACCCAATTTCACAGATGAAAAGACTGAGGCACTGAGATACTGTCTTTACCCAGGATCACAGAGCTCTTTAAAATTAGAGCTAACACGAGAACCAGGTCTCTGGATTCTAGTCCAATGTGTATTTCTTCTTCCAAACCACTGCAGATGATACTATCTAAATACTGATTTTTAGAAGTTTCCCTGTTGGAATCCATGAACCTCAAATCAAAATGGAACACTAAATAAGCAAATTTACTATTTTTAGGAATGTCTATCTCAGATAGCAAATAAGTGACTACTCAATAAATATATGGAATTAGCTCCTTCATCTATCTTCTTTCCTGGACTTGTGATAAAATGCCCCCTCAGTCCTAAAGACTCCTACCAAGCATGAGAGAATTGAGCTAATGATTAAATTTAATTCAACTGTATCTAAATAGTAGCTAATTGAACCTAACAGGGGTCATTAGTCCCCTTGTCTCCTAGGAATCTTCATGGTGTTTACATACCTTATTACTGGAAAGTGAAACCAGCAAACATTTTTTTGCTCTCTCTCTCAACCTTACATTAGAGTTGTTTTGCTTGTTTATGTCCCAGTTTTGTTCTGAGTGAAAGTGATTATGTCTTCGTTGCAGATGACACTTGAGGCACTGGTTGCCTGTATGTTAAAAAATGGAATTTAAAAGCCCCTCTTGGTGGACAGTGGATCAAGGATTAGCTGTTTGGGTTTATAAAGCAGAGTCTTTGCTATCACTGCCCCGCTTCATGATCTGTTTCACCATCAGCATCTGGAATCTTTACTCAGATTGATCCTTATGCTTTTTGCCCCAGCCCGGCTCTGTGCGCAGAGCCCACAGGCATCACTCATGTCTGGCTCCTAACGTCCATACCTTCTGGTTAAGGACTTTGGCTAACAGAGAGCCAGTTGCATAGAGCTTTCTTCTGGCTCGAAACAAACTTGTGAGAGGTAAACCTATGGTACCTGATTTATCTTTTCAGGACACTGTTTCGGTTCATAGACCCAGCTTTTATGCAGACAGATTTCTAAAGTTTATGAATTCCAGAGTTTTCAAGAAAATTCAAGGTAAGATTTTTATGAATTTCTTTTTTTTTTTTCACCTTTAGCACTTACTGACTGGTTTCACTTTGTAAGATTTTTATTTATTTATTTTTTAATTGCCAAAACAGTTTTTTTTTTTAACTTCACAATATTGTATTGGTTTTGCCATACATTGACTTGACTCTGCCATGGGTGTACATGTGTTCCCCATCCTGAACCCCCATCCCATCCCATCCCTCTGGGTCATCCCAGCACACCAGCCCCGAGCACCCTGTATCATGCATCGAACCTGGACTGGTGATTCGTTTCACATATGATAATTTACATGTTTCAATGCCATTCTCCCATATCATCCTGCCCTCACCCTCTCCCACAGAGTCCAAAAGACTGTTCAGTACATCTGTGTCTCTTTTTCTGTCTCACATACAGGGTTATCATTACCATCATTCTAAATTCCATATATATGCATTAGTATACTGTATTGGTGTTTTTCTTTCTGGCTTACTTCACTCTGTATAATAGGCTCCAGTTTCATCCACCTCATTAGAACTGATTCAAATGAATTCTTTTTAATGGCTGAGTAATATTCCATTGTGTATATGTACCACAGCTTATCCATTCATCTGCTGAAGGACATTTTGGTTGCTTCCATGTGCTGGCTATTGTAAACAGTGCTGCGATGAACATTGGAGTACACGTGTCTCTTTCAATTCTGGTTTCCTCAGTGTGTATGCCCAGAAGTGGGATTGCTGGGTCATATGGCAGTTCTGTTTCCAGTTTTTTAAGGAATCTCTGCACTCCATAGTGGCTGTACTAGTTTGCATTCCCACCAACAGTGTAAGAGGGTTCCCTTTTCTCCACACCCTCTCCAGCATTTGTTGCTTGTAGACTTTTGGATAGCAGGCATCCTGACTGGCGTGTAGTGGTACCTCATTGTGGCATTTCTCTGATAATGAGTGATGTTGAGCATGTTTTCATGTGTTTTTTAGCCATTTGTATGTCTTCTTTGGAGAAATGTCTGTTTAGTTCTTTGGCCCACATTTTGACTGTGTCTTTTATTTTTCTGGAATTGAGCTTCAGGAGTTGCTTGTATATTTTTGAGATTAAGTCTTTTTCAGTTGCTTTGTTTGCTGTTATTTTCTGCCATTCTGAAGCCTGTCTTTTCACTTTGCTTATAGTTTCCTTTGTTGTGCAGAAGCTTTTAATTTTAATTAGGTCCCATTTGTTTATTTTTGCTTTTATTTCCAATATTCTGGGAGGTGGGTCATAGAGGATCCTGCTGTGGTTTATGTCGGAGAGTGTTTTGCCTGTTTTCCTCTAGGAGTTTAATAGTTTCTAGTCTTACGTTTAGATCTTTAATCCATTTTGAGTTTATTTTTGTGTATGGTATTAGAAAGTGTTCTAGTTTCATTCTTTTACAAGTGGTTGACCAGCTTTCCTAGCACCACTTATTAAAGAGATTGTCTTTTCTCCATTGTATATTCTTGCATCCTTTGTCAAAGATAAGGTGTCCATCCATAGGTACATGGATTTATCTCTGGGCTTTCTATTTTGTTCCATTGATTTATATTTCTGTCTTTGTGCCAGTACCACACTGTCTTGATGACTGTAGCTTTGTAGTATAATATGAAGTCAGGCAGGTTGATTCCTCCAGTTCCATTTTTCTTTCTCAAGATTTCTTTGGCTATTTGAGGTTTTTTGTATTTCCATACAAATTGTGAAATTATTTGTTCTAGTTCTGTGAAAAATGCCAGAACTAGAACAAATTGGTAGCTTGATAGGGATTGCACTGACTCTATAGATTGCTTTGGGTAGTATAGTCATTTTCACTATATTGATACTTCTGATCCATGAACACAGTATATTTCTCCATCTATTTGTGTCCTCTTTGTTTTCTTTTACCAGTGTTTTATAGTTTTCTATATATAGTTCTTTTGTTTCTTTAGGTAGGTATATTCCTAAGTATTTCATTCTTTTTGTTGCAATGGTGAATGATATTGTTTCCTTAATTTCTCTTTCTGTTTTCTCATTGGTAGTGTATAGGAATGCAAGGGATTTCTGTGTGTTAATTTTATATCCTGCAACTTTACTATATTCATTGATTAGCTCTAGTAATCTTCCGGTGGAGTCTTTAGGGTTTTCTATGTAGAGGATCATCTCATCTGCAAACAGTGAGAGTTTTCCTTCTTCTTTTCCAATCTGGATTCCTTTTATTTCTTTTTCTGCTCTGATTGCTGTGGCCAAAACTTCCAAAATTATGTTGAATAGTAGTGGTGAGAGTGGGCACCCTTGTCTTGTTCTTGATTTCAGGGGAAATGCTTTCAATTTTTCACCATTGAGGATAATGTTTGCTGAGGGTTTATCATATATAACTTTTATTATGTTGATGTATGTTCCTTCTATTCCTGCTTTCTGGAGGGATTTTATCATAAATGGATGTTGAATTTTGTCAAAGGCTTTCTCTGCATCTATTGAGATAATCATATGGTTTTTATTTTTTTATTGAAAGAGTTTGAACTATTTATCTCCCCAAAGCAGTAATCAGTAATTGTAATTAAGTATCTTAGCTAGGTGCTTATTGATGCCATAATCATTAGAGTCCAATTTTGTGTTGGAAAAAATTATAAACTGTATAATATATTGGCTAAATACATTATGATATAATTAAATAATGGGATAATATGAAACCAAAATGATGTATTAAAAGCACATTTAGTCCTTATAGCTTCATTCACATGTATATAGTTATTGGCCTGTATACCTAAATGGACAACAAAATTCTAGCGGGGTATATAAAAATGTAGTTAGTCTTATGGAATATTCTCCAGAATAGACCATATGTGAGTCCTCAATATATTTCAATAGATTTTAAAAGATTGAAGTCATGCAAAGTGGCTTTTCTGATCACAACAGAATAAAGAGCAAAAACTAGAAAATTCACAAATATGTGAAAATTAACACATGCTCACATATTCAGAAATGTGTGAAAATTAAACAAACAACTACCAATGGATCAAAGAAAACAGCACAGAGAAATTAGAAAAAACTTAAAGATAAATGGAAATGAAAATAACGCATTCCAAAAAATTATCAGTTCAGTTGCTCAGTCATGTCTGACTCTGTGCACCCCATGGACTGCAGCATGCCAGCCTTCCCTGTCTATCACCGACTCCCAGAGCTTACTCAAACTCCTGTCCATTGAGTCAGTAATGCCATCCAACCATCTCATCCTCTGTTGTCCCCTTCTCCTCCTGCCTTCAATCTTTCCCAGCATTGGTCTTTTCCAGTGAGTCAGTTCTTCGCGTCAGGTGGCCAAAGTTTTGGGAGTTTCGGCTTCAGCATCAGTCCTTCCAATGAGCATTCAGGACTGATTTCCTTTAGGATGGACTGGTTGGATCTCCTTGCAGTCCAAGGAACTCTCAAGAGTCTTCTCCAACACCACAGTTCAAAAGCATCAATTCTTCGGCCCTCAGCTTTCTTTATAGACCAATTCTCACATCCGCACATGACTACTGGAAAAACCATAACTTTGACCAGACAGACCTTTGTTGGCAAAGTAATGTCTCTGCTTTTTAACATGGTGTCTAGGTTTGTCATGGCTTTTCTTCCAAGGAGCGTCTTTTAATTTCATGGCTGCAGTTACCATCTGCAGTGAGTTTGGAGCCCAAGAAAATCAACTCTGCACTGTTTCCATTGTTTGCCCATCTATTTGCCATGAAGTGGTGGGACTGGATGCCATGATCTTAGTTTTTTTGAATGCTGAGTTTTAAGCCAGCTTTTTCACTTTCCAAAAACTTACGGGATGCTACAAAGTCAGTGCTGGGAGGGAAATATATAGCTATAAATGCCTACATTCAAAAAGAAGAAAGATCACAAATCAGTACCGTAACTTTAAACTATAAGGGATTAAAAAAGGAAGAGCAAACTAAACCCAAAGTTAGCAATGGTTGTGTGGTATTTTCTCTTTCTTTACATCAATATTTATTAAATTTTCTATAACAGGTGTGTATAATTTATGTAGAAATGTTTTTAACCATGTTAAAAGAAAAAAAAAGTATTGTTCCTTATGTTATTTAGGTATTTTGTTGTCCAATTTTGTAACAATTTAAAGTGAAAGTTGCTCAGTCATGTCTGACTGTTTGCGACTCCATGGACTATACAGTGCATGGAATCCTCCAGACCAGAATACTGGAGTGGGTAGCCATTCCCTTATCCAGGAGATCTTCCCAACCCAAGGATTGAATCCAGGTCTCCCACATTGCAGGCGGATTCTATACCAGCTGAGGTACAAGGGAAGCCCCATAACAATTTAGCCATACACAAAAAGCTGAAAAAGTGAAAAATTCATATTTTTTATTTATATAAGATAGATTTTTTTAATAATATTTGTTGGAGATTTTTGTTAATGATAGTGAAGCACTTTCTTTTTTAAGGCTTTTTCCCCCTAATGTTACATATAACATTCACATAATGTTACATGTAACATTATGTAAGTTTAAGATGTAATGATGTGATGATGTTACGTATAACATTTACATGTTACATAGAGCATTTTCCCATAATGTTACATGTAACATTATGTAAATTTAGGTATAAAATGTGATGATATGATACATATATATATTGCAAAATGATTATCACAGTTAGGTTACTTTGTACCTTCACCATCCTATATAATTACCAATTATGACTGTGTATGTGTATCATGAGAATATTTAAGACCTACCCTCTTAGCAACTTTCCAGTGGATAATACTGTTTAAGATGTGCAGCATGCTCATTTGACTTTCATACATTATGAAATGGTTATTACAATAGTTTGTTGTTTAGTTGCTAAGTTGTGTCTGATTCTTTGTGACTCCATGGACTGTAGCTCACAAGGCTCCTCTGTCCATGGGATTTCCCAGGCGAGAATACTGGAGTGGGTTGCCATTTCCTTCTCCAGGAAATCTTCCCAACCGAGGGATCGAACTTGTGTCTCCTGCTTGGTAGGTGGATTCTTTACCACTGAGCCACCTAAACAGC